TTTTTTTCTTATCTTATTTATCTCGGGTACAAAAGTGTCGCGAACGCGTGGAAAGACCCTAAGAGAAAAGAAATCGACACGAAATTACACCAGAGAAGGAAAAAACGGAAATTGGTGCATTCAACGACGATCTACAAGAAACATTCATTGTTTTGATAATCATCTATGTGTAATGAACTTTCCTTTGTAAAATTGTTAATTACTTTTTTATTTTTATTTCTTATTTGCTCGTTATCCTTCCTATCGATCTCCAAACAGGTCTTTCTTTTTGTTACACATTTTGTGTAGTTTATCTCATGCTCCTTTTTCTTAATTTCTCTTTTTTTGGAACGGTATTTTCTTTTCCTTCATTTTTTTATATTTTCCTTAGTGGTGATTCTTTTTTTTCGTCCTATCTATTTTTCATATCTTTGTCGTTTTCCCTTTTTTTCTATTCTTCCCTTCCTTCTTTTTTATTTTCCTTGCATTTCTTTTTCTATCGTTTGCCCTCCACTCCCCCAAAAAAAGAAACGAGAAAGAAAAGGGAAAGAAAAACACATCGTAGATGAATCGAGGTTTAGCCGAATCGTTCGTTCTGTCGAAAATCAACGGCGTCTAATCCGCTTTTCTCTCGCGTTTCTCCGCCCTGTTTCTCCAATTCGTATTTTCCTTGTCAACCTCGCAAACAACCAACGAGCGACAGCTGCGATAAACGGGAACAAACGCGAATAATAATTACCAACGAGGTGATATATCAATCGGATATGTCTTTCCATCGTTGCTCCGACGACGTCGCGATTCGCGTGAGCACGATCATCGATAAAGCAACGTGCTGTCGACAGAAATTTTAGATTGAGACGTGCCCGTGACACACGATTTAAAAAAAAAAAAGAAGGAAACGAAGGCGGAAAAATGTCGAAAATATTTTTTTAAGATAAACTCCTTTGCGAAAGTTCTTCGTAAAAAAAAGAGAGAAACAAAATTATGCTTCTTTAAATTTCTTTAAATATTAAATATTAATTTATGCTTCTTTCGAAAAATAAAATGAATTGTATCGTGCTAAAAGATACCAAATGTTGTTGAAATTCTTGCGCGAGTATTCGAGAGGAAGGTGCATTGCGAAGAAAGAGATTCGCCAACGAAAAGACGATCTGGACAGGTCGATCGCCTGAACTTTCCGAAAGGACAGGCGAGGACCTTTTCCAACCTGGTCGGTCCTCTCCCTCACCCCCGTATCATTCGTCTCAGCCTCGCTGATCGATCTCGAGTCCTACCGTTTTATATTTGATGTGTATACACGGCCGCGGTAAGTCCTCTGCAACAACCAATATGATTGCGTTTCAGCTATAGAATAAAGTCGATTGTTGATACAACAACGACAGTACGGGAGTATCATTTATGTTTAATATTAAAAAGTCGCGGCTTGCCTTGCTGAAAATATTTCATTTGGCTTGGTCGCTTATCTGGTAGGATTCGAGACTTCGATCGTGATATCTCTGCTCTTTTCCTCTTTCTCTCTGTCTGTCTTTCTTTGTCTATCTTTTGCATTCTACAAGGATCGACCCTCAAAAATACCTTTCTTTTCCTCCGGTTGACCGCCGTTCATGTTTCGAAAACTCTTTCTACCCCCTTCGTCGGTCCATTGAGTTTCCCTCTTCGTCGTCTCTGTTCAATTTCCTCTTAAAACGTACGTGATTAGATTTGTCGCAGTATCGTCCGATTGTTCGTTCCGCAGGTGAAAAATCCGCGAGAAAACGCGCGTTTCTCCAGACACGGTTCGCCTTACCCCGTACCGAGATCCTATTCTCGCGAAAGATCACAATATCATGTATTGTATTTGTTTTTTTGTTTTTTTTTTGTTTTTTTTTTTTTTATTTTTTCCTTGGTTTTTTTTTTTTTTGTATCTTTTCCTCGGTTTTTTTTCTTTGTTATTTTCTTACAAACTAACCGCCGTTTAAAACCGTTTTGTTTTTTTTTTCATTTTTCATTTTTTTTTCTTTTTTTTGTAGTTTGTTTCTTTGTTTGCTTTTAAATCAGAGATCACTCGTTACTTTTGGTAATCAGTCTATCTGGTCTGCGTAAACCTCGACGAGCCAGAAAACTCGACTCGAACAACTCTGCTGCCTCGCTGTTTTTCGATCCGGGAAACCGTTTTCGGATCGATCTTTGCGTCAACCTGTCACGCGCAGCCTCCGTCCGAAAACCTCCGGTCCTCTGATAATCCTCTGATTTCCCTTCCGTTTGCAACCACGAAAGCGAACGGCTGGTCGATAGTCCAGTTTCGATGCCTCGATTCGACGCCTCAAAAGACAGCCCCCTTGGATTAGAATTTCGCCTCTGCGCCAATTAAAGACACTCGTATAACGATTGCTTCCCAAGATCCGACGTGTTCCTCGTTAAGAAACACGAGAAACGTTGTAACACGAGCCGGTGATCGTCACACCCGTTACCTTTTATCCACGAAGTTCCACTTGAGCCGCGAAGTGGAAACTCCGAGCTATAACTAGGCGGTCGATTTCTCCTCTTCGAAGCGATCTCTGTCGCGTAACAGGCCTTCCGCATCGATCGGTCCCGTTCTCCGGACCTCTTTTGGACCCTTGTACGACCTTATTTCCTTCCGAAAATCTTTCTCGCTACAACGTTCACTCTAATTAGTTCCCATCTTCATCGTTCTCTCGCGCACGCCAGAAACATTGTTCCCTGTTTTGTATCTGATACTCGCGACTGGACTGCTCTTCTTCTCCACCTATTCTCCTCGCGTCTCTTATTCTGTCTCTTTCTCTCTCTCTCTAATCGTTTCTTCCTGTTGGTTTTTCCGCATCGTTTCCTCTGACACCCCCCCCCCCCCACCCCCTCAAGAAAAGAAAAATGTCGATTTCGTGGCTCTCGATGAAGACAACAACGCGTGATCGCTCAACAACAACAGGTGGTGTGCCGGTTCAAGCCTCGAACAACCAACGAGGGACTTAACAGGAATTTGTACTCTTTTGAATGCGTGTGTTGTTACAACGAAACCATGTTTAAACGTTTCACTTATCATGTAATAAAGATTACACGAATCGCCCCCGCCGTCGAAGGCGACTCACCTCACCTTAATTATATTAAGAATTGTTATACGTTACGATTCACGTATACGTGGTACTTGACTTTTTTTTTCTTTTCTTTTTTTCAGTTTATTTTAATCCCTTTTTTTTGTTGTTTTGTTTTAGCTTTTTGTTAAATCTGACGAGTAATCCTTCGTGTAGGGCATACGCACGTGTGTCTATGCATATCCTTACGTCAGGTGTGTGTATTTTGCTTTTATTTCCCTTCTCCATCTCTGTACGTAACCATCTCTCCCGGTTCATTCGCACGGGTCGTACTCGCGTGTACCCGCGGTATCCTTCGAAAGGTGGAACTATTCCTTCAATTTCTCGTTAACCCTCAAATTAATCGTCGACCAAACGATTTCCAAAGAATTTAATCGACATTTAACTTCGCGATTTCACTTCTCCCTCCTTCGATAATAATCCCATCCGCGCTCCCTAATCTCGTTTCACTTCTGATTTTTCTAATTCGATGTACAATCCTCTGCCCAGTATAATTAACTGCTGTTTCCTCCACCTTTCCACTCCTCCCCATCGACTTTCTCTCTTCAATTGTATATCTTATTACCCCCCCCCCCCACCACCACCCCTCTCTTCAGACACTCCTACTTCTTCCCTAGTTTATTTTTTTTTTCTTTTTAATATTTTCCCCCCAAGTGTTTTATTTCTTATTTGGTATCCGCGATTACGCAGACTGTACAACGCACGACGGAAATGA